GGGGGGGGGGGGCGAGGCCACGGCTGAACGAGCACCGAGGCCGGTTGGTTTTGGGTGGATGTGGGCAAGCATGCCAGGGACGAGCCAGGCGCTGCAGGGAGCTGTGGGGCAGTGAGGGAGCTGCGCCCCCGCAAGCCTGAGGTGGCAGCGTGGGGGCTCTCCCAGTCCCAGCCCTCTCTGCGGGCCCAGTGGGGCCGCCCCGCCTGCAGCCCCCCCAGCGGCACAGCTCGCTTGCCCACCCGCCCCTGCCCCACTGCTTCTGGGCCGGGCCACTGCCACTCCCTCTGGGATGGTCAGAGGCTCCCATGGAGCAGAAGGCAGCTGCCCAGACGTTAGTGGGAGGCATGCATCTGGTCCACGTTGCAACGGAGCTGAGTGAGCCAAGCGCCATGGACTGTGCTGTCATTGACTTTCTGAGTCCTCCATGCAGAGCTGGGCGACGCGGCCTCGGCGGCTCTCACCAGTCCGGCTCATGGTGAGGAGTGATGGGCCTGCAGGCCAATGCACCTGGGGCCACAGGCTGCCCACCCCATCTCAGCAGTCTGGACCGGCTGCTGCACCCAGACAGACTGGCTAAGGTCAACCTCACCCGTCGTCCTGCTGCCTCCAAAAGAAGCAGGATGAGACGGACGGACCGTCAGGCGCAAGAGAAGGGTCTTTGCAATGGTGGCCCCTTGTTCATGCAGCATCTCCTCCCAAGAGGTGCAGGTGACTCTTTTTGTTTTTTAAAGGTTCTTTTCAATTAAGCAGGCTTTAGTTAAAAAACTAGTGGGCTGGATTTTAATCTGTTTCAAATACCTTTTCTGCTGGTTAAACTATTTTCAAAGATTATGGTTGGGCCGGGTGGTCTAAAGAATTTGCTGCTGCTCCCTCAGGCTGCAGGCTGGGGACTCCACGCTCCGAGCACACCAGCCTCTGGCCGTGCACTTGATCCAGAGGGCCCCAGGAACTGGGAGGGGAAAAGGCTGGGGCAGGGGCAGGAGCGGGCACCGGCCGCTGGCTCCAGCCCCCCACCACATGTTGCTTTCGGTCCCCCACAAGAGCCAGCAGCAGCCTAGGGGAGGCAGCAAACATGGCCCTTGCCAAGGTGGGAAGGGGCCTGGCCTTCAGGTACCGTCTCCAGGCCCGCAGGAGCACAAGGTCCCAAGCCGCAGGCAAGCGCTCGGGGCAGGCAGCTGGGCCCCAAGGCCCAACGCTTCAGACCTCGCCCTTGTTTTAAGCCGTGCTTTGCATTTGCGTAGACTGCACACCACCCTCGGACTGAAATCCGTGAAAGAAATCGCCTGTGGCCACATTCCTCTTGCATCACATTCTAGCCCACTCGCTGCCAAGACTCATCCGACAACAAAGCTGCAAGCACCGCCAAAGCCCCTGGGTGCCTCCGCAGAAGCCCCGGATCCGCGGCCGGCCCGCGGAGGCGGCGCGCAGCGCAAGGTCAAGCCCTCCCGCGAGGGCGGGCGGGCGAGCGAGCGCGGCGCCACCCTGCGCGCCCGGCGGGACTGCGCGGCGCACACCTCCGGGGAGCCTCCGCGGCGGCGCTCCTGCCCCCCACCCCGGCCCGCAACCCCCCACGGCCGGCTGAGGGGGCTAGGGGCAGCCGCCCCTGCGGAGCCCCGGGAGCGCTCACCTCTCGCAGAAGGTGTGCAGGCACGGCAGCACCTTGGGGTTGTGGTAGCGGTCCAGGCAGATGCTGCACACCAGGAACTGCTTGTCGATCTGCCGCACCACGGGGCTGGCGCTGGACTCCCGCTTGGCCATGGCCGCGCTGCGGAGACGGACGGCCTCTTCCGCGGGCCTGCCGGGGAGACGGGGCGCTCAGGGCTGGGCGGCGCGCGGCACGCGGCGGGGCGGGGCGGAGCACGCCGGGCGGACCGTCCGGGGCGGCCCCCGCCCGGGCCGCGTCCCGCCAGATGCGGCGAGCGACGCCCCCAGCCCGGCGGGAGGGCGGACGCGTCCCGCGCCCGGGGATGCCAGGCCGGGCTCACCTGCCAGGCGGGA